CCAAAGAAATTTAAAAATATCGCTACAAAAAAAATAAAAAACTATAAAGAAACAAATAGTTGTTCCTTTTACAATAGATATTTGTTAAATTCGAAAAATTTTATTTTAATTTTGAACGTTAAAGTGTTATTTGCATTTACAGCCTCCACATGTCAACAACTCGGTAAGAAAAGCTATATTTTCTTAAATCCAAGCGACAAGATTCTTTGCTTATTTTATAATTATGACCCTGGGTGTGGCTATTATTGTCAATCGTAAAGAACATAGATTGATCAGTACGGGCAAGTATACAAAAAATTTTAAAGCCAGTTACTAAGTTGTTTTTAAGGCGCCGAACTTCGAGTGATTCGATACCAAGCAGCTGTAATCTATTATGATTGAAAAGATTTCTATGGCTCCTTAATTTTTTGGTAAATTTTTGTTGGAAATTTTCAACTGATTTAATCAATCCAATTTGGTGTGGCGACCATACTTGAGAACAATATTCTAAAATTGGTCGTATATAGGTAGTGAAAGCTCTAACTAGGATACAAGGGTCACGTGTTTTAAAACATTTCAAAATTAAGTATGCTCTAGAGTTAGCTTGATGAATGACGTTAAAAATATGTTTTTTATAATTAATATTACAGTCCATTGTTACTCCTTTTGGGTTTGAAGACCAAGCCAAAGAATATTCAATAACTTATAGTTAACCTTTATACCTTTGCATAATGAGGGAGGTGCTATTCTAAGTGCAAAACACTTACTACAAGCAATTGTTAGTTGCCAAGCTTCTGCCCATTGTACAAGTCTATTTAAAACAACAACTAAATCTTGGCTTAGATCCATATCACGGTACGAACTATACAACTTTATATCATCCGCATAAAGTTTTACACAACAGTCCAGATTATTAGTTATAGCGGTTAAATCATTAACATATAATAAAAACAATGTGGGACCTAACACACTCCCCTGTGAAACTCCGCTAACAATGCGTATAGAGTTTGATATAGAATTACCGACCTTGTCTTGTTGATATCTATCGGTAAGAAAAGTGGAAATCCAATTTAAAAGATTACTTTTTATGTTATAGGATGCAAGTTTTACTAATAGTTTGGTATGCGAGACAGAGTCAAACGCTTTTTGGAAATCAATTTAGACAACATCCGTTATTTGATGGTTATCGAGTGCGGTGTTCCAATCATTAGCAGATTCTAAAAGATTTGTAACGTTGAACGTTTTTTGTAGAAACCATGTCGATTAAGAGATATTAAATTGTGATGACCTAGATACTTTATGACATACACATTAATCATTCTTTCCATTACTCGACAGCAAGTGCATGTCAGTGAGATGGGTCTATAATTATTTGGATCCGCAGTAGCTCCTTTTTTAAAAACTGGAGATACAAAAGCTTGGTGCCATTGTTTAAGTAAAGAACTTGACTTAAAACTGGCATCAAATATAAATGATAGTGGAATACACAATAGATGAGCTAATTTTTTCAGAAGTATGTTAGGTATGCCATCAGGACCGTACGTTATGCTGGCTTTAATTTCCTTCAAAGATTTATACACTGCTTCTGGTGGAAATAGTAAAGTTTCAATACCAATTAAATCATTAACATAACTATTAATAAATGGAGAGTAATTGCTATCATTTGTAAAGACATTGCCAAAGTGTTTGTTAAACACGTCAGCGATTTCTTTGTTACTACAAGTTATCTTGTTATTATTGTTTTTGTCTTTTAGAGGAAAAATACTTTTAGAGTTATTTAATTTTCTATTAACGTAATTAAAAAATTTGCAGATATTGTATTCTTTTACAAGTTTAAGTTCGACTCTCATTTGGTAAGTAAGTAATGATTTTTTTATTTTTTTATTATGATTACTCATTCTAATTGGAACAAACCGATAAATACCATTGCAAAAATGATTGGAGAAAACGTTCCAATTATCTTCAACTGTAAAAAAAAAGGAAAACTCAAAGTCCCAATTAATATTTAAAAATAAGACTGAAAACCACCAATGTCGGCATTAACGAAGTCGGATTCAACATTTTGATTTAACTGATCGAGATCATTTATACTAATAGAGAAGTGGACAGTGTTATGGTCACTGGTGCTGAAAGGACATCCAAATGAAATAAGACTAAGAAATGAGATATTATTTGAAAATACAAGATCAAGAATATTGTTTTCACTAGTAGGTTCCTGTACAAATTGGCGCAAACCGAGATTGTTGACCAAATTTAAAAAAGAAAAAGATATGGTATTTTAAAAAATTTTAAAAAGAAAAAGATATGGTATTATATATAAAAAGATATTTAAAAAAGATATGGCACTTTTCGTTTGGTGATACGTAATTAAGCCAGTCTATTTTAGAAAAAATTGCATTTATATATAATCTATGCCACTCTGTATCTCAATTTGTTATTGTCAACGACAATAAAAAATTAAGATACAGAGTGGCATAGATTATATATAAATGCAGTCATAAGTTCAATATAAGCCATATCGGCAACGGAGTAAAAGGTGGGCGATAGCATGAGATTAAACGGAGATTAAACGGTTCATTTGGCATAAAAATTAAAATCTGGTTATATCGACCGAAAGGGAAAATTGAGTTTAAATTTAGATGGTCTCTGCAACATTTTCTACATAAAAAATATGCCGGTTGAATTAAATGATAGGTAAATACCTATCTATGTTCCATTTAATAATATAAATGTGATTATTTATAGATTTTATATGTTCTTGTTAAAATAGAACCATTTTGGGGGATTTTTTGAAAAATGTTTTGTTCCTATTAGATTTTATTATTAGTTCCTATAGAGGCTCAAACAAACCAACTATAAAGAAAAATTTTAAACGCCATTTTCAGTACTGTGTGTTTTCATCAAACTGATACAAAGAGCATAACAACTTTTAAAACTGTATAAGGACATACAGGGGCGGATCCAGGAATAATTTTGACTGTAGCAAAAAAAAAAAAAAAAAAAAAAAGGTTCTCAAATCCAGAGTACTGACACTCTTGACTCTCCGTTACCAAGGAAGGGAGGGGGAAATGTGCTCGAATCCCGAATACGAGGAGGGGGATAAATATAAGGGGGAGGAGGCAGTAGCAGATTACTTTATTTTATATGCTTATACAATATGCTTATACCTTGGTGAGAAATAAACAAAACACATTTTCGGTACAATTACTATGTCGATAATTTTTAAAGCCTGTTTACACTTTTTGTTTTTATTGGAGACTCAAAAATTGTTTTCAAATTTTTAAGGCTGATTTTTGCAGATTTTAGGTTTGAGATATAAATGTTTTGTTGATAACAAATAAAAGGAATAAAGGGGGGAAGGGGGGGGGGAGGTCTTAATTAGCTTAGTGTGATGGGGAAAAATATCGGAAATTAATAAACAATAGGGGGGGGGGGGGCGTTTATTAAGGACTCGAGTTATCAAGATAATGTTAAATGTGGGTGAATCTTATGATAATTTACCATCCAAAAATGATGGTTAACTATCTTCTCAAAATCAAATACCATTAATAAAATAGCAATACCATGACAATTAACAATTGCAAGTTATTCTTACCTTAATTGTGTTCAACATCCAAAACTGTTGGCTAATGATCAATAAAGTAAAGTTCATATCATGAAAATTTACTAAATTCAAACCATATTTCAACAGTATTCAAACTAAAACAAAATAATGGCAAAGATAGAACTACAAAAATATTAAGAAAAAAAAATGTCATAAGAGGTAAAAAACTATAACTATTTTTTAACAAAACCTCATAACATAAAGTTAATAATAAATATGAAAATTTTTATGACATCAAAAAAATATCCTTTTTAAATATTCCATCAGTAATAAATAAAAGTATCCTATATTATATATCTATCAATTTATATACATATTTATATATCCTATATCTATCTGTAATCAGTATAACTTTATAACAAGTATATCTATTCATCAGAGTTCAATATATTTTTAAACTCCATTCTTCGTGGAAATGCAGTCGCAAATTCATCTCCAACAATATTTAAGTCAATTTCAACATTTCGATGAATGTGCAACATGGAAATGCCATTTAGGCGATCATCTGTCATAGAATTGCACAAGGAAGTTTTAATTCTTTTCAGAGCTGATAATGATCTTTCACAAGTACATGTTGTAACTGGTACTGTGCAAAGGATTCGAAGTATAGTAGAAATATTTGGAAACGTATTGCCATCACATTTTTGTAGTGAATCTGAAATAGTTTTAGGAGCTGTTTCAGAGTGATTTTTCCAATATACTTCCCACATATCTAATTCAGCATAAAGATAACTTGGTTCTGGTAAATTATTATTGCATGTATGAGCAAATTCTTTTACTTTTTTCCTCCACTTCTTGTCAGAGATTAAACTTGATGGTATGATGACGAAACTATCTAGCAATGTTAAATTTTCTAAAGAAAATAAAGAATCTAACTGTGTTAGAATGTGATCAAGAAAAGGAATCAAACAATTTACTCGATAATATTCACAAATATCATCTACTTGATGATTATTACGTTGTGTTTGTTGTCCACATGTTCTTGGTTTAGATGGCAAGGTATAATTAGTTGCAGCTATGGTAACAGCCTCTTTATACCATTCTGAGTGTGAAATTTCAATAGAGCTCCGAATAGATAAAAGAGTGTTTTTTAAAATTTCCACATCATCACGAGCTTTTGAGAAGTCTTGATCAACTTTTTGCAACGTTTTTGTCAGTGGTCTCGTATACCCTAATAACTTCCTGACTATGATTAAGGTGATGATAAACTTAAACGAACAACATATTGTCACATATGCAGAAGCATCACCTCTGGATTTGTAGTTCCATGTCTCATCTTCTTTAATACAAGTAAGAGATGCAATTATAGCTGGATATAATTCAATAAAAGCTTCAAGACCATCAATTCTTTCAACCCACCTGGTTCTACAAACATTTATTGTCTTTTGAAAGGATGATTTCGGACATAGCTCAACAAATCTGATACTGATGGATTTGTAGATAGATCTTCTAACCTCTTTGGAGAATTATTAAAAAAATCAGAGACAATCCTAACATCATATCTCGAATTGAAGGAATTGCACATGCTTTGGCAACACACAGATTAAGTTGATGGGAATAGCAGTGGATGTATGGAGCTTTAGGAAAATCTTTTAAAATTAATGCTGCTACACCACAAAGATGCCCTGCCATGTTACCAGCCCCATCGTAACCTTGCCCACGACAATAAGACATTTCCAGACCAAGTTTATGTATACTTTTCTTGATCTTAGTTGATAACAAAACTCCAGTCAACCCACTATTGCAAGAAACAAATTTTAAAAAATCTTCCTTTACTTTGCAGCATTCATCCACATACCGAACAACTACAGCCATTTGTTCAGTTTGACTAACATCTGAAGCTTCATCTGCTAAAATAGAAAAAAAATTTGCTTTCTTTATTCTGTTTGTCAATAACGATCGAACAACATCTGCACAAATATCAATCAACTCATTCTGCACTGTCTTTGATCGATAAGTGGCATTTTTAGGACCATTTTTAAAATGGTCACTCAAGATCTTGTCACCGCATAATGCCATCAGATCTAAAAAGCATTGGAAATTACCAGCATTATTACATTGCAAAGCAAGATGTTTAGCATCATCTCGATGTCCTCTAAGTGGTATATTCTGCCTACAACAAAAAAGGATTGCACGTGATATTGAAAACAAAATTTGCCGATTTCTAAAAATATTATCAGATAGAAATTTATTGAGTTGCAAATTAATTGGAACGGTTTTTCTACTAATTACTGCTTGGAAATCAAGCATTATTTGTATGGAGGTTTTATGCATTGGTGAAGTGTTATTATGTGATATTATTCTTACATTTTCAACTGACCAAAACCGAAACAGATATTCATGAAATAATTGACTAGTTGAAGAAGCCTTTCCAAACAGAACACAAGATATACAGAATAACCCATCATAGTACTTTGAGTAACAGAGCCATGAAAATTTTTTGAACCAAGCAGGGTTACATTTATGACCATTAGTTTTAGGAAAAACATAGTCAGAAGGTAGTATCCATACGTTCAATAGAATATTACGCTTCTCTTGGTTTGATAATTTCCCTACTTTGTCTACAAACAAGCCAATATCAAATTCGTTGCAATCATCTTCTGTTGTTGCATTTTCACAATTTACATTTAATTTTGGAATTACGACTCCTGATATTGGTTTTTCAAATTTATTACTTAAAACCGAAGACGAACTGGATACTGGCAAAGGTTTATTGTTCACAGAAAAAAAATTCTTAATACTCAATGATGGTTTGGTTAAATTAATTTTTTGAACAGCAGAACAAGGTATTTGAAGAAGTGAATTATTTAAAGGGCGTTTTTCACCAGTTACAACAATATTTTTTGAAGAATTTAAACTTGTTTGGGTACGAACTAAAATATTTCGAAACTCTGGCTGAGTGCTTATAATAGATACTAGAGGGACAAAATGATTAGGCTTGAAATAATGCATTTTTCCCATATGTGTAAGATTGTCTGATATTTCTTTCTTTGATTCAACATTGTAAAGCAATAAGTAAATTATTTGATAGGGTTCATCAAATTTCTTAAAAGTCTGTGGGTACAATGTACTTCTAAATAAATATTCTAAACATGCATCTCCTGTAGTAGGATAAAAGAGTTTCAATGGAATCTGAAATAGAAAAAAAAAAATAGAAAAATAATAATATCTATATAATAAATAAAACAATAAAATTCAAATCAGTTTAAATGTTAATTTTATACAAATGAGAATATACTTTTAAAACATTTGAGATTGACATCACACAAACTAAAGATGACCAAACACCAGATTGAGAAATATTAAATGCTTCAGCCAAAATAGCATCAACTTTAGACTTTTTAGCTTCAAATGCAGTACATGCAACATTGGATATTCCTAACAAGAAAGCGGATCTTTCTGATCGAAAAACACCACTTAAATGCCCCAGACGAAAAACAGGATGCACAGCAAAAAAATTTGCATTCTTGTATAACTCGATTGCACAAAGCTTCCTAAGAGTTGTTGCTAGCATATTGTTTCCGATTAAAGCAATGGAGACAGCAGAAAATAAACAATTGCCATCTTGAGGAGTTCTGGACATAAGAATAAATTTATATGCAAATACACCCACATACACGCACACAAACATACACACGCCCACACACACACACACACACACACACACACACACACACACACACACACACACACACACACACACATTTTTTGACTATAAATCAAGAAGTTCTTTTGATATAGCAAATCTAGCACAAACTAAAAATTCTAAATACCTATTCATCCATTGCGTTAGTCAGCTGGACACCAAAAAAACTATACCAAAGATTTTACCTGACAGGCACCATTGAACATGTTTCTTCGTTTATAAGTTTATCAGCATACAATCTAGCCAAACTATTACTTGCTGCAACATCCAAAAAACCATCGGCTCCACCAGACAATTTATACAAAATATAGATTCCATCAGAGTTTTTCTGGGAGCGCTTGTTTAATTTGGCAGTGTTACTTAACTTAATCTGATCAATTAAAGAATGGTTGTTTGCTTTTAACGTTTGATAGAGCTCCATTGCACTCATTAAAAAAATTAATCAACGCAGATTTTTTGATTTAGCAGAGCAGATTTTTGTTTTTTTGCTACACTTGCTACAGGTTCTCGCTTGATGACCTTTAGTCCTAACTTAAAACCTCCTTGTTAATAAAAAGATTGCATATAAATAGGCATAATTTTATAAAGTATCAGGGGGTATGTATAGAGTAGTTTGAAATAATGACAACCTGACTTTTGCTACAGTTGCTACAGTCGATTTGCCATTTTATTTAACTCCCAGTCCATTTTAAGTTGATACGCTCCGAAATGTTTGACATTCTTTCAAAAATATTTGAGCATGTGAGACAAAACCCAAAAAACTTGGGTTTTTTATTATATTTCTGAATGCAATATTTCCGTAAGATAGTCAACTTGGCTCAGCTACAATTATGAATAAATTTTCGGAGCGCCGCGTCTTCACTACTTGCAACCTATCTTGTTAAAATTATATTCTTCTTTTGCATGAAAAAAAGAATGTATATATCAAATATAAAAAAAAGAAAAACGACAACTAAGCTGGTTGTAGCAATTGCTACACTTGCTGCAGCCTAGATCCGCCCCTGGACATAGAATATTTAAAGGACTTTCAGTAGAAAAAGGAATGGAGCAATTATCTTTTATTTGGTTAATTTATGGGGCTTCAAAGTGAGGCTATTAGAGAAACCGTTGCTACCACTTTTTCTTTATTCTTTCAGCTTTTGATAATTTTTGTACTTGTAATTGTATTTTTTGCTTAATAAAGTCATAAGGCTACAAAAATAAATGATAATGAAAACTTCTCATTGCAACTAAGGCATGGTACACGTTTTTCCAAACAAAAAGTTTTTTTAATAATGATATATGTAAGTTTTTTCATCTAAAAGTATGACAAATTTGATATGTATGAAGAGATTATTTTAACCACTATTATATTCTGGTAAAAGTAAAAAAAAGCGACTAAAACAATCAATAAAATCAATCGACTAAAGCAAATCATCAAGCGTAGTTTTATTTCAAAATGTTTTCAAAATAAAGTACTTTGGGGCTTGGCTATAGATAAGTTTATGGATTTGATTTTTTCATAAAAGCATGTACTGATGTTTGTTTTCGATGAATGTAACTTGACATTTATAATCAGACATTGTTTGGGAAAATTATCAATGAAAAACCATTTTTTTATGAAAATTAAAGTTATTATTTTCAACACCACACCTAAATGTTAAAAAACTTTGATTTTTTTAAAAATTGTAGTTTTTTTACTTTCAAAAATAAACTGAAAAAAGTAATTTTGACAATTGATAACATCTTCGAGATTTTTGGAATATTTTATTTAAATATTTAGTTTTGTTACATATTTTGACATTTTTTAACGGTATTTTATGTTTGGTTTTGGCTTATTAAAAATCTTGTATTGTAAATATCGGTATTTTGTTTTTATTTATTTTGTATCGCATTGTTAAACGGTTCTCGGTGACAGGATCTTGCCATCCTCTTCGAGTTTCCGTGTTCTTTTTTATTTTATGTAAAACGATATTATACCAAATAAAATTGTAATAAGAACAAAAAAAAAAAAAAAAAAAAAGAGTATGTTTAACAATATTGTCACGTTTGATTCAGATAAACCATGGTAGTGTTATTTTTTTCTACCAAAGTCATTTTTGCATAAATAATTATAACTTTAGCCTCATTCAAAAAACTGTTTTCGGTATTAAGTATCATTTTTTGAAATACTCGGGACTTATTTGGCCATCTTGAAAAAATATTTTTTTCCTTAAACAATTAGCGGTAAACTTTATAAACAAACTACTTTCTTTTTTAAACTAGTTTTGTTTTTATATCAGTAATAAACTTTAATTGACATTTGTTTTCTTTTATTTGTATAACAATAATTTAAAAGCAACTTTCAACTTATTGTTATAAAAACAATTATATCTTTGAATACTAAGTCAATATAATTAGCTATTATGGCATAAATAATGTATTAACATAAATTTTGTTGTTAGCACAGCGCAAAATGAAATATATATTACATAATTCATTCCAACTGCTTTTAAAAGTAGCATATTTTTTTAAAATATACCGACAAAAATGTATTAAATTGTAATTAGGTTCATAAATTATGTCAAACAAACACTTCAAGATATCTTTATGATTATATATTGATATATCTCCTGCAAAACTGTTTTCACAGACGCTTAGGTTGTTTATAATATTTTGCCATTATTTACGAACTCTTTGTTTGAATAAATTAGATCCCGATAAATAAAAGTTTTTCGGTTTGCCATTAACAACCAATCGGATTTGTTTAAAATTATCGGCTTTTTTTTTACGAGTTTGTTTGTTCTATGGCTTAGTTGCATTGAGTTGTCTACTGCTTTTTTTATTGCTTTATTGAGTTACAAGGTTGCTTGTAGACAATAAAAAATTGAGCCAAAGTAATGAAAGCATAATGAAAACTTTCTGATCATAAACTATTCTAAAAATATTTGAAAAATTATTACTTGACTAAGTTTCTTATAACAAAACAGGTTTAAAATTCAAATTTCACACAAAAATTATTTTGTATTTGAAAATAAGAAGAAATTTGAACCAAAGATCTATATCTTATTCAGCCTTTAATTTAAAGGTGCTTGTTGTAGTCTAGCGCGCTACAATATGTTTTCCATAATTAGGGTTGTCCAAACCTCTTTTGTATTTTACTCAGTGGGAGCTGAAGACTGAATGAAGTGCCACAGATAATTCCTTACTAAAACGACCGAGCCCAGTGTTGTCAATTCTGATAAACTCTATATGTGGTGGAAAACAACGTGAACGTTTGGAACCACTTTGACCGGTAGAGTCATTCTTGAAATGCACTGATTTGAGCAAAATCTAGGGACAGATTGTTTCCAAAGCAAAAATAAACAACACTTTAAAACTGTTTGAAAGCCTTAAAAAAAATCAATGACAGGAGCAACTTGATGTTTCGTCACTAGCTCACTAAATAGGTCTGTATTATTAAAAAGATTTATTCAGTCATTTACAGCAAATTCTCCACTATCATGAATTACATTTAAGTACTTCTTTGCCTGCAATTTGCTTCCTCTTGAATGTGAATTGTAAAGCTGGAATAAGTTCTTATTGATTTGTTTATTCTTGGTTTTCCTTTTGTTTGCAAATTGTCTGCGGTGATGTCACCAGCAGCAGGGGTGTGAACAAGAGTGAAACTAGGTTTCACATAGGATGTTAGCAAATTTGATTTCACAAGTAATGAAAAATGTTGTACAATCCCGAAAAAAGCAAGGATTGATTTGAGATTCTCATAGTTTTCTAGAAGGTTTTTAGCTATGGCCAAAATTAGTTGCTGCTTGACAAAGAATCTACAGATGTGGAACCAGTGAGGGTTGTTGTATATATGCATTTTGTGGCATTCTATGCATTCTCTCTCAACAATGATTTTTAGTTCCCTTGAAGGAGGCAATTTTTTGCTCAAAGGCAGATGCAGCTAGTTTTTCTCCCATTTTAGAGTCACTCTGCACCATCTTTTTCAAGTTTTCAAATTTTGAACCTTTTGTGCACTGGTGAGGAAACCCTTTTTGAGCGTTGCCATATAAAAATAGCACAACTTTTCTCGTGCCTGGTAAGAGCTTTGTAGACTACTGCTTGGTACACATGATGCAACAGAGGGAGCTAAAGTGTACTTTGATTTGCCAACTTAACAAATAAAGCATGAACAATCAGAGGACTTTCTTGTGATCTCGATGCTTCAAAAGTTATACAGTTTGGGGAGCTCACGCCTGATTTGACCACTACATATAACTGTAAGGATCCCTTTTTAATTATTGTAATCTTTAAGTAACTTTTGTAAAAGTTTGACTTTTGCTCCTTTTTTTTGTTCATTGCAGTATTATACGTTTCGATCATGTCCTGAATAGTTTCTTCTGATTCCACTTTAGTATAGATGTAGTAAGGATTCTATATAAAATACAAACATTTTTGGTTTAGAAATTAAATAACAATTCCTATTGATTGTGTTGAGTAAATCAATTTTAAAATAAAAAGTAGGTAGTTTTCCAAAAAAAAAAACAATACCTCGAGTTTTTTTAATAATTTTATAATTTTACCGTTTATTTTTGCGATATTTTACAAATTATTTTATACACGAAAATGGAAATCTAGCTTTAATAATACCTAAATAATTTCTAAAATCAAAGTAAAATACTTTTTAACTGTCTTCATTACTGTGTTTTTCCTAAGAACACTTTCCAGAATATTGGGCACATTTTCCATCTCTCATAAATGACAAACCTTTTTGTTTTCTCCAGAAATCTCGCAATTATCAAGGCAAGTAAACATGCAGATCTTGTATTGGTGATGTGGTGGTTGACTACCTCAGAGTCTTGGCAATAAATTGTTTTTTTGACTTTGAAATCTTTGTTTGCTTTGATCGTACCGTTAAGCTTCATAACCCTACGTGTTGCGTTCTCTATAGATTGAAGTGCTTCAAATCCATCATTGACCATTCTTTGTAGACCGTCTAGGAGAAGGTAAAAGGTTTCTCTCTCTTTGAGGAGTTCCTTTGTAAGTGTCAGACTAAAATGGGAAACAACTTTAATGTGTCTGAAAAATTTTTCAAAGCTGTTGTAACTAAACTTCCAGTAGCATTGGATTCATCATTGACCTCTGCATAAATTGTTGAGTTGTTGAATTTGAATACTCCTTTTTCGGTGAATAATATTCTATCTTTTCTTACAGTTTCCAATGCAGGGAGAAGTTGGGCATCAGCAAAGGTGAAAAGTAAACAAATATTTTTTGTCACATTATTGTCAAAGATGTTAAGAACAATATTGAAGAGATACATTTGCTCTGCAG